TTTATTATTGAGCACTTAAAACAGCAACAAGGCCAACCAAAGTGCTGTACAATAGAAACAAACAAGCACAGCGGACAGGAAAACATAAAATAAAAATATAGATACAACTAGCAGCAGATTATAACTAAATGGCCATCACTCTAGACTACAGACAGGATCAAAACAAATCACACCGTGTCAAAGGCAAGGGAATAAAAGTGGGTTTTCAGGTGAGACTTAAAGACTGTGAGTGTGGGAGCCTGCCTGACACGCAGTGGCAACTCATTCCACAGTCTTGGACCTGCAACAGAGAAAGCCCTGTCACCTCTGAGCTTACGATGGGTGTCTAGAACTGAAAGGAGCATCTGGTCTGCTGACCTCAGAGAGCATGGTGAGACATATGGCTGCAGAAGATCAGTGAGATAAGATGGAGAAGAACTGTTCAGTGATTTAAAAACATACATGAGTATTTTGAACTGGATCCGAAGGTGAATGGGTATCCAGTGCAGGGAGGCCAAAACTGGAGTAATGTGCTCTCTATGGCCTGTACCAGTTAAAAATTGGGCTACAGCATTTTGGACCAATTGTAGATGTGCAATGGAGGATTGATTGATTTCAAACAGAAGCGCATTGCAGTAATCAAGCCTGGATGTTATGAACGCATGGATCACTGTCTCAAGATTATTTTTGGACAATATGGGCTTCAGCTTGGACAGCAGCCTCAGCTGAAAAAAAACAGGCTTTAACAATCATGTTTACATGACTGTTAAGTTTTAAGGAAGGGCCCATCATCACTCCCAAATATACTCCCACTCCCAACCGTGTGTGTGTATATATATACAGGTCCTTCTCAAAAAAATAGCATATTGTGATAAAGGTCATTATTTTCCATAATGTAATGATAAAAATGAAACTTTCATATATTTCAGATTCATTGCACACCAACTGAAATATTTCAGGTCTTTAATTGTTTTAATACTGATGATTATGGCATACAGCTCATGAAAACCCAAATTGCCTGTCCCCAAAAATTAACATATCATGAAAAGGTTCTCTAAACAAGC